GTTCCCACGTCGATTACCCGTCGAGTGACTAAGCTGAGCCGAGAGGTGGGAGCGAGTGCCAGTCTATGGGCTATAGGCGGCGGGGCGGCGGCGGCCTGCTTTCCAACTCCCGTACGAGCCTCGACATTGGAACGTTGCAAAAACGTCGCAAGGTTCGCGAATGTCAGAATTTCGACAGTCTTTCTGTGATTTCGCGTGACACAGCTCGGTTACGAACAGATTACTCGGTTACAGTTTTTATAACAAGTGAACACTGTTCACGTTCCAAATGTCTGCCCTCTGTGTCCCCCACTAAAATTGCGGACTGTTCGCTGGCAGCTATGGATTCGTGCGCTGGCCTATGCATTCGGCGCACGGATCCATAGCTGCCAGCGCTGCATACTGTCGTAGGACGTTCCCGCGGTCGCGTGCGCCTTGCCGCGGAACTGCGCGCAGCACTTCGGATTAACACCTCCTTTCGGCAACGCTTCTCTAGTATCCCATCTCATCTGGATGTAGTGAAATGGCGTATAGGGTATAGTCGCAGTTGTGATGTACTATCCTTGCGTTGTGTTATTGTTCTCTATTCGTAGTAAATGTATAATCGTATTAATGTCTTAGTTTATAAACCCAATTCGTTGTTCGTTTTGTGTTTGCGTTTTCGCTTGAAGGATGTCAGTTTCAACGCGTAATTGTGCATACACGTTTTTTGTATGATCACGCCGCGCCGCTGTCACGCGCAAAAGAAACCAGGGAAACGATGGGTGATCTCAAGGCGCTAGTATGTATTGGCATACACCACCGACACCTCGATAGTCAATATCCACACCCGACAATCAACGTCAAAGTCAATATCAATATCAATGAACAATACCAACAATCAATATCAGCATCAGCAACCGACGCACTCGTACCGTATTTCGCGCGCGTGTACCGTCACACGTATTGTTACAGAATCATACAATCAACGCACGAGTACCGCTACATGTACTGTTACAGAATCATACAATCAACGCGCGCATACCGCTACACGTACTGTCACAGAATCATACAATCAACGCGCGCATACCGCTACACGTACTGTCACAGAATCATACAATCAATGCGTGCATACCGCTACGCGTATTGCTCCAGAATTATACAATTAACACAAAGTAAAACGAACCAACGTAAATGACGCTTGCGCGTCGTCTCTCTCTCTCTCTCTGCCTCTCTTCCTACTCCTCTCTGTCCCTCTCCGTCGTCGTCTGTCGACCCACGGTGGATGCTCTGCGCCTTCGTCTTCTCTTCTCCTCTTCTTCGCTGGGCTTGTCCGACCCTCGCTCGGCGCTGCCACGTGTCTAATGTAGACTTCTAACTCTCCCTCGCCCACGCGCCGTTTTGCTGCGTGGCTCTGCTACACGTGCGTCTCTCTCTCTCTACTGTCCTGCCTAACTTAGCGAAAACTATCCACTTCTCCTTCGATCACGCACGGCTATACTGCGTGGCTCTACTGTACTGCCTAACTTGGCAAAAACTATCCACTTCTCCTTTGCTCACGCACGGCTATACTGCGTGGCTCTACTGTACTGCCTAACTTGGCAAAAACTATCCACTTCTCCTTTGCTCACGCACGGCTATACTGCGTGGCTCTACTGTACTGCCTAACCTGGCGAAAACTATGCATTTCTCCTTAGCTCACGCGCGGCTCTACTGCGTGGCTCTACTGTACTGCCTAACCTGGCGAAAACTATGCATTTCTCCTTTGCTC